GGTATTTGGGTTCAACATGTAAGAAGTAGAAAGTACAGGTATTTGAGTTCAACATGTAAGAAGTAGAAAGTACAGGTATTTGAGTTCAACATGTGAGAAGTAGAAAGTACAGGTATTTGAGTTCAACATGTGAGAAGTAGAAAGTACAGGTATTTGAGTTCAACATGTAAGAAGTAGAAAGTACAGGTATTTGGGTTCAAAATGTGAGAAGTCAAAGTAAAAAGTTGTCAGAAAAATAAGTAGTGGAGTAAAGTACTGAAACCAGGAAGATATACTTAAGTACAGCTGCTAGTTATGGGTACTTTTTACTGAAGTACATTTCAAAGTTCTTTACTTTTACTTGAGTAAAGAAGTTTAGTCAGTACTTCTACTTGAGTAAAGGGTGTGTGTACTTGTACCCTCTCTGGGTAAAGAGAAGCCCGTTCTTGAGGATTAAACTACAGAATAAATGGTGATTTCAGAGCGTCAGATGTAAAAGCTCGGTCCCTTCTTTCAGAGCGACACAGAGAAGCTGAAGGGTCTCCCGGTGAGTCCGTTCATGGACAGAGAGAAAGTTTCCAAACCGTCGTCTCAGACCAGCTTCATCGGCTTCGTGCTGCTGCCGCTGTTCTCCGAGCTCACCAAGCTCTTCCCCTGCCTGCAGGTGAGACCCTCTGCCTGCAGGTGAGAACCCCTGCCTGCAGGTGAGAACCCCTGCCTGCAGGTGAGACCCTCTGCCTGCAGGTGAGACCCCCTGCCTGCAGGTGAGACCCTCTGCCTGCAGGTGAGACCCCCTGCCTGCAGGTGAGACCCCCTGCTGTGGTGAGGAAGTGAGAGGTTAGGAGCCACTCAGGGTCTGCTTTCTATCTCAACCCGACCCTGAGTGTTCTGAGCAGGACCGGTGGACTCATGCTGGCTGTTTCTTGTCGTTGTGAAAGTTATTTGTTTTTGGTTGTTTTGTTTAAAGCACGGATGACGATGAGCTAAACTTGTGTTTTCATGAACAATGCACGCTAGAGGAGGACCAGGAACGTTTTTAAGCGTCTCCTTTTTGCCCCTTTTGAACAGAAACTATTTGAGAATTTAGTTTGTATTTTTTTATACCTTCACTTTGATATCATTATTATTATTGTTTGTGCAGCAACATATCGTGGAGCCGGTGCAACAGGCGCTGAAATATTACTCTGACCTGGAGAGAGCCGGCAGAGAGGAGACGAGCAGAGAGTGAGGAGGAGGAAGAGGAGGAAGAGGAGGAGACGAGCAGAGAGAGATGAGGAGGAAGAGGAGGAGACGAGCAGAGAGTGAGGAGGAGGAAGAGGAGACGAGCAGAGTGAGGAAGAGGAGGAGACGAGCAGAGTGAGGAAGAGGAAGAAGAGGAGGAGGAGACGAGCAGAGTGAGGAAGAGGAGGAAGAGGAGGAAGAGGTCGATTCCTTCAGTGTATCAAGATGTGTCCTCCCTAACAGGATGTCAGCTGACTAACCCTCATGTTTTAGAAAACCCTCTCTAAGGGAAGTTTGGAGTTTTATTTCATGCCGTGTGATTTGAGCAGAAACTTCTTCCACTAAAGAAGTGACTTGGTTTGTTTCTCACGACTCATCGAAGGATAGAAACATCACATCATAGCTATTAAAGATATTGTATTTAAACAGTATTTCTTTGGACTATTAAAGTGTTAAATTCACAAGGAGCTAATCTCACAAAACTGAATTTAAAATCACAATTTAGTCAAAGAACGGCGTCGCTTAACTTATCATTTTATAGTTAGTTTAACAAGCCCTCGTGCATGTGATGAAGATTTAACAACATGAGTGGTTTTAATGAAAGGACTGAGAGGATGTAACCGAGTGTGTGTTGAACAGATCAAATGCATTCCTGTAAACATTTAAATAAAGACGCAGAGCAGCCCACGATGATCCACCGTCTGAAGGTTTATTTTTCAATCACTTCGTTTACAAATTCAAATTCAAAGTGCAGTAATGCGTCTGATAAATATGTAGAGTTAAAAACAACCAATAACCAGGGCTGTTTCAAATACCATAAAGAAATGCTCACAATAAATCTGTAGTATACAACAGCTCTTCCTTTCAGTACATTCTGTTGGCGTTAAGAACCAACGCTCTGCTCGGCCCCACGGAGCGCTTCACTACCACGGACATCACGACACAGCAGGGACGCAAGCACTACTTTTTATGTGCAATCTTGATATTCTTAAGAGCTGGAATGTTCAGGTTCTCCAAACCTGCGTGATGAGCTGCATTCATACCGCTGGAGAGCACGAGGAGTGACGTACAGGTGTTTAAGCCAATCAGATTACAGCTTTTAACAAACCTTAATGATTTTAACGTTTCTCTTCTTGGTTTACTTTCTGACATGCCGTCTGATCCGTGAAAACTACTAGGAACTAGACGGAAAAGGAATCTGGATGCAAGCAATCAGACCTTCCTCTCCCATTACTGACTATTATTGAACATGTGGTTATAAGAAAACATAAGGAAACCTTTTGACAGTTAAATAACTTCTGATGCAGCTTCAGGACACACGAGTCAAACGAGCAGCGTTAATATAAATGTGGCACAGAAATAATAATCACAAAGTGCAGCAGCCCCCCCACTTCTAAATAAACTCAGTAGTAGTTCATGAGATAATATCAGGGTTTAGTTTGTTATTTCTCACACGTGGTCACATTTCTATATATTTTAAAGAGTACCATTTTATGGCAAAACACACGGGAGGATTCCTACAAAATGTCCCCCGTTTTTCCTTGGCTTTCTTCGATGCTTCTGGAGATATCAGTCGTCCTCTGGTACATCGTACACTTTCCTTCAAGGTGTGTTTCTAAGGTTTAATCATTTTAGTTTGGGTTATTTCGTACCAGAACACGTCAGAAAAAAACACATTAATAGCTTTTCTTGGAGCTTGGCACTCTGCATTTGAGCATGTCTCAGCGCTGTTGGCAACACGATGAAGCGAGCTCTGGGTCCTCTCGGGGTGAAGCTGGGAGAGGTGTTTCTGGGTTTGGGACTTGCCTGTCAGGAGGGACTCTTCACAGGTTGGAGATACAGTAGCGTCGCACGGCTTCACCTATGGACACCGTCAGGGGGAGGAGGGCAGCTGCTAATTGAACATGATGGACTCTGGGTCCTGGTTCATCATCTGGGCCATGTGGCGCAGGACGTCCTTCTTGGTGATGATGCCCAGGAGACGCCTGAACACAAAGGTCAGAGGAAGAAAATACCTTTCTGATTATGATTCCCTTGCAGCAGTGTTGTTGTGGTTGTTGTTGTTGTTGACTCAGCTGTTGGGAGGATATTAAGGTTTTTTTCCCCCTACATGAACATCATACATTCTACATACAACAAAGCAACAAGACATTACATACAGTAAATAAAGACAAAGGAAAGAAAAATACATTTTGATACTTCAGATTAAATATTTTTTAAATATCAAATTAGTTTCGATTGGCTTCTTATTCCTAATGTTTTTAATAGTGCCAATATATTTTTTACATTCTTGATAGAAATGTACAAAGTTGAATAAGAATGGCTCCTCTAGATACTTTGCACCGTGCTTTTTTTAGTTTTTGAACTTATTCTTTATTAGTTATTTTCTCACATTCCCCATTAGTACTCCAATTTAGAGGAACAGTTCTTTAACAAGGGGTCGTGCACCGTGCTCTGACGCTGTTGTTTTCTGCTTTAAGATTAACGTCGTGGAAAACAGTGAAACATACATTCTTAATGAGGTTGGAATTGAAAGAAAAAGGTCTAACCCGCTCCGGGTGACGAGACACTGGCGGAGGCCCAGCTTGCGGAAGATGTCCACCACGGTCTCCATGGGCGTGTGGTCGGTGACGGTGAAGGGGCTGAGGTTCAGGACGCGCCGCAGCTTCAGAGGCTGAGGGTTGCTGAGCGGCAGCTGGGGAGCGTCTTCAGTGAAGTAAACCACGGAGCTGCTCACCACGCCGTCCTGCTTCTGACGGGCGTTTTCTACAGAGGAACAAAGAGAGGAACATCGTGATGAACACGAGTCTGACCCCGTTTCCTGATGCCGTCCGGAGACTATCTTACCAATGATAAGAGTATGAAGACCTACAGGAGGGGAGACACTACAGGAACGCACTAGAACATGTTAAAAGCCCAGTAATGCTTCGTCAGTTTGAGCCTGAGGATCTCTCCTAGATTCACACATCGTTAGCATCACATAATGCCTCATCTGCATATTAAAACACTTCATTTCAGATATCAAACTGGGGGGTTTCTGGGTACATTCTGTCCCCTTTAAACCACTTACTGATGGCGAGGGTGAGGTCTCGGCGCTGCACGAAGCCGATGAGCCTCTCTGATTCGCGGGACACCACCACAGGGAAGCCGTTGTAGTCGGTGTCTTTGATGAGCGTCTCCACGTCCTCCACGGTGGTGCTGTCCTGCGTGAGCACGGCCAGGGGGGGGTCGTTCCTGCGCGGCCGCATCACGTCCGTGGCCAGCGTGCGGTGGGTGAACTCGTCCCTCACGTCCAGGTACGGGTATCCGTTCAGCTGGATGTGAGACTCGTAGATGCCCTCCTTCCCGAAGGCGTCCGCCACCCATTTGCTGGTGACGGCGGCGGCCATGAGGGGCACGATGTACTCCAGACCCCCGGTGAGCTCGAACATGATGACCACCAGGGAGACCGTCATCCTGGTGACCCCCCCTGGAGGGACGCAACCACTTTATTACAGCTTCATTTATTTAGACAGTCGGCAGTGCACAAACAATCGTTCTTTAATGGTGGCTCTGCTGGTAGCCTGGGCTCATCCCCACCCTTTATTCATTTATTTGTGTGTCCTTTCCCACTGTGACTATGTATGTCATTAAGTGTGGTATTCCTGTCATGCTATGTTTTGTCTTTATTATTTCTTGTTAGCTGTTCTGTTTGTCTTCTATGTTGAAAAAGGGAAGCGTGATTTCCACCCAAAGGAGTCTGAACTATTGCTTACACTTGTACGCTTCTTCTCAATACTATTAGGCACGTTTATTTATACAGCACCTTTCAACACAAGGTGCTTTACAAAAATGAAAGACATTCATTCCTCTCTTGATTCCTCAGTGATGAACAGGTGATGTCCACACGGACAGAGAGGGAGTGTGTGTCCTCACCCAGGCAGGCGGCGGCCCCCACCATGGCGTAGAGCCCCGGGGTGACGCAGTCCGCTCCGGGCCGGCACCAGTTCTTGAAGATGATCCAGTCGTGGTGGTGATACGCCATCTGCTCCACGGCGATCCCCACGATCCGTCCTGCTATCGCGCCGACCGCCATGCTGGGAATGAACAGACCCGAGGGGATCTGGAGGGGACGAAGAACCGCAGAGAGGCCGTCAGAATCCAAGCAAGGGCTACAAAGTGGTTTTGTTTTGTTTGTTTATATCAGGGGGTAAAGTCAATTAGTATAATGAAATCTACCCTTTCTATTTCCTCTTTTTATAATCAATCTGAAGCTTCTGTTTTGAGGAATGAGCTGCTAAGTAAATGAAGGAAACCCCCTGGAGAGCTGAGGTTGTTTTGTTTCTTAAAGCATTTTCAAGTATGAAGCTTAATTGACCTACATTTGATTGATTTTGCAAACTCATAACTTCACTGATAAGGCAATAAACCTCTAGTGAGCGGCCCAGCCCTAAGTATCTCTTTTTGTATGTGGCCCTCGGAGAAAAGGTTTGGACACCCCCTACAGTAGTTTATATCGTCATATTTCTAGTCATTTTCTGTCACTAGGGGGTCAGCAGACATCCCATCACTAAGTCCTTCATCTGGTTCAAATATGGAGTTAAAAAACATGTGTGATAAATATGTGGTTTAAAACTGGAAACAAATAACATTCATGTCAAGTTTATGGCAGACAACAGAGAGCATGCACAGAGGGGATGGACACCATGACAGGAGATCAGACGCACCGTTACCTTCAATGACCCATTCCTCTGAAACTAAACAACTCAACGTGTGCGTGTTTACTGGACATCTTCAAGTCTTCATTAAAAACTCAGCTGTCCACCGTGACCTTTGACCCCTAACCCATCCCAGCCCCCTGCTTCCACTCCTATTTATTTAATTTCTACTTTATTATTTGCCCCTCGTTTGTTTGTTTGTTCACCGTGTAAAGCGGCCTTGGGTCCCTTGAAAGGCGCTATACAAATGTAATCTATTATTATTATTATTATTACACATATGAATAAAGACTATTGCACTATTTCTATTCTATTTGTATTTGCTTACTTACTATGTTATCTGTGTTATTGTGTTGCACTGTGGGAGGAGCCTGGGACCTCAGATGTTCATGATATATCTACACTGTAGCTACTGTATGAACACATGACGATAAAAGCCTTGAATCTTGAAATACACATTTAAAAAGGGTAGAAAGTAATATGTCCTCGTCAAACCCGACGTGTTGCTCATCTCCCTCGCACTGACCTTCATGCCGAAGGTGAAGATGGTGATGACGATCTTGAAGACGAGTGCGAGGGCGAGCTGCCACAGCGCGGTGTAGACCCCGGGGCCCGCCGGCCGGTCGGGGATGTCGTCCACGGGCCGGCTCATGTTGGGGTTGTTGATGTAGTCGCAGAGCTGCGAGGACTCCAGCGCTCTGCAGTCGTTGAACAGCTCTGAGATCAGTTCGCTGGTGCTGCGCCGGGTGTACGGGTTGGGGAACGCCAGCAGAGCCGTGATCCCCGTCACAGCGATCACCTCCAGCACCGGGTACTTCCCCAGCTGCGTGGTCTTCCTGCGGCGGCACCAGGCGATGTTGGCGCGGATGAACAGCGTCCCCCAGAGACCCCCGAACACCCCCAGCAGGATGAAGGGCACCAGCTCGGCCATGTACCACGGCGTGTGGTACTCCACGTAGAAGAGCACCAGGCGGCTGTTGCCAAACGGGTTGATGGAGCGCAGCGTGAAGGCGGCCACCAGGGCGGCGAAGAACGAGCGCCACAGCGTCTTCAGAGGGAAGTAGTAACTGACCTGCAGGAGACAGGGGTCATCAGAGGAATGTATTATGGGTCTCAGGTATAAACAAATATATAAAACACGTCTATAATGGGTTTTGCTCAAAATACCAAACAGACCATGCATTTTAGCCATCTGAGTGTTAGCGATGCTTGCTAATGTAAACACGGCTTGGCACAGGAGGCAGGTTCGGAGTGAAGCAGTGGAACTTAACGAACCTCTTCCAGGCTGAACAGGACTCCTCCGATGGGCGCTCCGAAGGCCACCGACACTCCGGCTGCTGCTGCTGCTGACAACACCTGAAGGCAGAGGTCAGTCAGGGTCAGGACATTAGTGTCAACATGCATAAATCACTTGGTTATTTGCAGAGAAGTAAATCTCTAATGTTTGCATTTATAAACTCTGAATGCATCTGTTGACCCGAGTCATTCTGTGGGTGTTTTCTCTCAGTTTGACTCTGATCAGCGTACCTCTCGGCGCTTGCCCTCGTTCTTGCTGTACTTGGAGAAGAGGCTGCAGAAGAGGTTTCCACAGCAGCAGGCCACGTGGACCAGAGGGCCCTCCTTCCCCAGACTGAGGCCCGACGACACCGCCAGAACCAGGGTCACCGTCTTGATCAGCAGGGTCCATTTCCCCAGGTAGCCCCGGATGATGAAGCCGCTGAGGATCGTCTTGATCTGCCACAAAATGTGATAGCTGTGATTTTCTATTTGCTTTTTTTTTGTTGCATTCTTAATTTATTTGGGGTGACATTATATTAAAAGTACAGTTTTGCAAATCATATCTCTTTGGAGACCCGAAAATGGCAATTAAATACCGAACTAAATTGGTAAAATAAAATAAAAACGAAAAAGTACATAGGGGTTGTTTGAAATGACCAATATCTACACATTTACACATGAATCTCCACACACACACACACACACACACACACACACACACACACACACACACACCTTTTAAAAGTTTGATATGGATATGGCCTGCAATGGAAGTGTGATCAACACATTGTGGCTTCAATGGTTTTTAAATGTGTACATCTTTCCCCTTACAGCTATGACTGTCTGTATTTTGGAAACACATTTTCTAACAGACTCATTACAGGAGCTGAGTTTCATCTTACAACATAAAATAAACGTACATCCACGCCAAAATGAATGCCATATACGATAAAGGAAAATGTGCAGCATTGGAGTTTCTCACCTCGGGGATTCCTGAGCCGCAGGCGTACGGAGCGAACACTCGCACCAGAGACACGGCCAGGAAGGAAAACAGCAGAGCCCACAGGACGTACAGGAAGTAGTTCAACAGGTACGCTCCCCCTCCCTGAAACAAGTCAAAAAAGCAGGGTCTGAAATCTAGTGTCCAGTCTTTCTGTTCCGAAAACCGAAGACTCTTTTTAGGCTGCTAAGGATAGTCTTTCACTAATGTACATTTCTCACAGATTTTGAAGTGACTGTTATTTTGTATATATTGATTGTTGTGCTTTTATTTATGTCTTAATGTGTGCATATTTATAAATGTGTGTTGATATACCGTAATTTTCGGACTATATCGACGCTGCGGCTTATATAACGGTGCGGCTAATCTATGGATTTTTACAGCTAACGGCCACTAGGGGACCTCCTAAATCTATGGGTTTTACAGGTTACAGTCCACCACCTTTAACTCTATGGGCTCTATGGCCGGTCCGCGCCCCCCACCTTTAAGCGGCGGGCTCCAGCAGGAAAAACTGGAGGCCAGAAAAGAGTGAGACAGGTAGCGCGCAAAAGTAAAAGTGGAACCGAGAGTGGTACGAGAGACAGAACGAGAGCAAGACAGACAGACATTACGAGAGCGAGACAGTTTGTCCCCGTACCACTGGTTGGAAACCACTGCTGTAGATCACTGCCGGTACGTGCGCTGGGAGCGCACCATTTAAGTTTGAAAGTTGAAAAGTTTGTGTGTCTGAAACGCTATGTGATACAGTACAGTTTACACAGCACATGTTCTGTAGCTACTATTGCACTAAATGCTAACACTTGAATACGTTATGCAAATATGCAACTTGTTTGTTGAAATGTTAATAAATGGGAGCTTCCTCAAACAGCCATCTCTTTCCCGACAATCCCCTCTGTGCACGAACCCTAGAATATGTCCTCGCGCGCTGGGCTCTCAGCCCAGCGTGGGGGATATGGCTCTCTCTGGAGCACCGAACTCCTTCGTTATTACGTGCGCTAATAAATGTTGAGAACAATATAATGAGAACACCTTCTGCGGTTATCGTGCGCAGGTGCGGCTTCATTTATATTTCCGTCCCTCCCCTAGTACCCGTCCGCATCTCGGATCCTCTGCTTCCTCGGCGGGCTCGATCTGCGGTCGAGCAGGCTCGATAAGTTCGGGCGAGAGTCGCTTATTAGTCTTTCACTCGCAAATTACGCGCGTAGAGGTAAGTTCTGGATTGTGGGAAACGGATTTTCGATTCTCTGTCGTAACAACAAACTAGAAAGATGGACTTAAAGTTGACGTTGAATGATTATTGGAATGAGTCTAAAACAGGGAATGAGTGTCAAGTCTTTGGTGTCTTTTCTGAGGAAGTTTTATTGTGTTCTGACCTCAGAG